AATGCCGGACTGTTCTTGCTACGAACACCATCCCGCAGGCGCTGGCTTGTTGAAGAAGCAGTCGACACATGATAAGTCCGAACGGTGGTGGTTGATCGGACACTGGCGGCCGGGCTCTGCTTGGAGCATTGTCGCGAAGTCCGCAGTAAACGAGCGGGAATAGCCGCGGCTTTGGGCATTGCGGCGGAAGCAGCACTCATCGTGAGCAGCAGAGGAGCATCCAACGGGAGGATAAAGAGAGACGATGAGAGAGGGAACGAAGGAGAAAGGCAGAGAAGCGAGATTGGAAACCGACGAAGCTGATTCGAGCAGAAGCCGGTGACCTTTTAGTTTTGAGACTCGCTCGACCGCCTCCTGATGGGGAAGACGCTTGGAAGCTTCGAGTCGCTCGCCTCGAAAAAGTTTCCCGACCGGAGCATCATTAATCCGCGGGCTGCGATGATGAAAGCCTGCTTCGGTAATCAAGCACTCGACCGACTTGACCGAAGTGAACTGATCTCCCCCTCGACCTCATTGTGCCCATTGAGCCATCACCTTCCTCTCCTTTTGTCTTCGTTGGGATTTCTCTCTCAGTCAGCTTTAGAGCTACTGTCTTGTATTATATTATTCCCCCATCCCCTCTCCTTCCCACTCACCTGCTTCTTTGCCGCCTCGTTTCATCCGCATCTACATTAGTAAAGCTACTAGCATGCTCCGCGGCCAGACTCTCCCCTGGAGAGCCGCGCTCCAACAAGCCTCGCGTCCCTTCATCCCTCGACCTCTACTTGCTCCCTCAAGATACAATGTCACCGCCCGATCGATACTAAATGCGTCGCGACTTCACCGCTCCCTCCCGACCTCCCGCGCCTTCTCCTCGAGCTCCATCCGGCGGAGAGAGAAGCCCCCGCCCGGCGACGAAAAGGACGACTCTGCTCAGAAGGAGCAGAAAGACGCAAACGAGGAGAAGGATGTTGAGCGTGCTCCAGATGCCCGACGCAAGGCCGCCGATGCCTCTGGCAAGCAGGGATCGTCACACGAACCCGGAGCTCCGACATCGGGCTTTGCACGGCGGAAGGAGAAGGCAGGCGCGGACAAGGAGCAACGTGGCCTGGAGGAAGACTCGAAGAAGGATGGTAATGCAGTAGAAGGCAAGGGGAACTCATCTGATACCCCATCCCCCATACCTGTCAATGGTGGCTCCGACTCGAGGCCTAGTGGCGCGAATAATGGTGGCAACGAGGACGGCGGTAAGAAGGGCAAGAAGGGCTCCGGCGAGAAGGCCTTACAGAAGCCGTCAGTTCCCGAAGTGTATCCTCAGGTGATGGCAATCCCGATCGCAAAGCGACCGTTATTCCCGGGCTTCTACAAAGCAATCACCATCCGAGACCCGAATGTAGCCGCCGCCATACAAGACATGATGAAGCGGGGACAACCATACGTGGGTGCTTTCTTGTTCAAGGATGAGAATGCAGATGGCGATGTGATCGAGAACCTGGACGACGTCTATGATGTTGGTGTCTTTGCTCAGATCACTGCCGCGTACCCTCTCCGGGGCGAAGCGAGTGGGGTTACCGCCGTTCTTTATCCCCACCGTCGTATCAAGGTTTCTTCGCTGCTTCCGCCTAGCGATGCTGCCAAGGCTGGCACAACCGAGGAGAAGACATCAGAGCGCCGTGGGGATGTTGTCGCCAGTTTCGAGGAGGGTACTGCCGAACTCGCCCCCAAGGACCATTATGAACCCACCTCCTTCCTGCGAAAGTATCCCGTCAGCTTGGTTAATGTGGAGAACCTTGCGGAGGAACCCTACGATAAGAAGAGTGCTATCATCCGCGCCGTCACTAGTGAGATCGTCAACGTGTGCAAAGAAATCGCGAGCCTGAACCCGTTGTTCCGCGACCAGATTTCTGCGTTCTATACCGACCAGTTCCCCGGCAATCTGAGCGACGAGCCCGCCAAGCTGGCGGACTTTGCCGCCGCCGTCTCTGCAGGAGAGCTCAACGAAATGCAAGAGGTCTTGGAGTTGATGAACATTGAGGAGAGACTCCCCAAGGCCTTGGTGGTGCTGAAGAAGGAACTTATGAACGCGCAACTCCAATCCAAGATCTCTAAGGATGTGGAAGCTAAGATTCAGAAGCGACAGCGTGAATACTGGTTGATGGAACAAATGAAGGGCATCAAACGGGAGCTGGGCATCGAGTCCGATGGCAAAGATAAGTTGGTCGAGAAGTTCAAGGAAAAGGCAGAGAAGCTTGCTATGCCGGACGCCGTCAAGAAGGTGTTCGACGAGGAACTCAACAAGCTGGCCCATCTGGAGCCTGCTGCCTCTGAGTTTAATGTCACCCGCAACTATCTGGACTGGCTTACTCAGATTCCTTGGGGACAAAAGAGCGTGGAGAACTTCGGTATTCAGCATGCGGTGAAGGTTCTCGATGAAGACCACTATGGTCTCAAGGATGTCAAAGACCGTATCCTCGAGTTCATTGCTGTGGGCAAACTGCGTGGTACCGTGGAGGGCAAGATCCTTTGTCTGGTCGGACCGCCTGGTGTGGGAAAGACCAGTATTGGAAAGTCCATCGCACGGGCACTGAACAGACAGTATTACCGCTTCTCAGTTGGAGGCTTGACCGACGTTGCCGAAATCAAGGGACACCGTAGGACCTATGTAGGCGCTCTTCCTGGACGCATAATCCAGGCCCTCAAGAAGTGCCAGACCGAGAACCCCCTTATCTTGATCGACGAAATCGACAAGATCGGCCGCGGGCACCAGGGAGACCCGTCTTCTGCGCTTCTTGAGTTGCTTGACCCTGAACAGAATTCGTCGTTCCTGGATCACTACATGGATGTCCCAGTAGATTTGTCCAAGGTTCTCTTTGTTTGCACAGCAAACGTGACTGACACGATCCCTCGGCCACTCCTGGACCGCATGGAGCTCATCGAATTGTCGGGATATGTTGCCGATGAGAAGATGGCCATTGCCCAGCGGTATCTCGCCCCTGCTGCTCGAGAGCTTACCGGTCTGAAGGAGGTTGATGTTAGCTTGACGGAGGAGGCCGTTGAGGAACTCATCAAGTCCTACTGCCGTGAAAGTGGTGTTCGGAATCTGAAGAAGCAGATCGAGAAGGTTTATCGTAAGGCGGCATACAAGATCGTTCGGGATCTCGGCGAAGACGTGCTCGCAGAAGAGAAGGCTCTCACAGATGAGGGCAAAGCCGTTCAAGAGGAGTCACAGAAGGAGACTGAATCTCCCGACTCAAAGTCGCCTGTCGATCCGGAGAAGTCCACGACGGAAACGCCTCGCGTTGCGCTGAAGGTTCCGGAAAGTGTGCAGCTCAGTATCGGCAAAGACAGCCTTACTGACTATGTTGGACCCCCCATCTTCACGGCTGACCGTCTCTACGACACCTTCCCTCCTGGTGTGACCATGGGACTTGCCTGGACTAGCATGGGAGGTGCTGCCTTGTACGTCGAATCAATCCTGGAGAACGCCCTGACGCCTCAGTCCCGACCGGGCATCGATATCACCGGTAACCTGCAAAACGTGATGAAAGAATCTAGCCAAATCGCCTACTCATTTGCCAAGTCGGTTATGGCGAAGCAGTTCCCCGAAAACCGATTCTTTGAGAAGGCTAAGCTGCACATGCATTGCCCCGAGGGTGCTGTGCCCAAGGATGGCCCATCTGCTGGTATTACCATGGCAACATCTCTGCTGTCCTTGGCTTTGAACCACCCACTCGACCCAACCATCGCTATGACGGGAGAACTGACCGTGACCGGAAAGGTCCTGCGCATTGGAGGTTTGCGGGAGAAGACCGTCGCTGCTCGCCGTGCTGGTGCTAAGAAGATCATTTTCCCCGCGGACAACATGTCCGACTGGCTGGAGCTGCCCGAGGTGAGTGTTGGATGATCATTTGGGAGTGCCCGATAAGAAGCTAACATACAATCACAGAACATTAAGGAGGGCATCGAAGGCCATGCAGTAGGCTGGTACTCGGAGGTGTTCGATATTCTCTTTACCGACTTGGACAAAGGTGCTGCCAATAACATCTGGCAGAAGCAGCTGGCTGAGAAGCCTGAGAAGAAATCCAACGAAGTAGAGGAAGACGAGTGAATTACGCCACCAGTCCTCACGCCTTGATGACATACTGTTCTCCAGCTCACGCCGGGCATTGTTTATTTTCTTTCTGGTCACGTGCAAGGCGTTATCCTGTGGAAAGCATGGTTCGGAGTTGTTTCATTTTCTCATCACTTTTTTTTTTGTTTAGTTTCTAGATTCACTTCGTGGCGTTTTGCCCGTTGCTTCAAGTTGTGGGCCATACCGCAACCGCAGGTTGAAGTTGACGTTCGCCTAGACCGGCTGTCTAGCAGTCCTGATACGACGAACGGCAATACTGCAGCCTAGCACTCACTCCGCTCTGAGAAAAGAAGATTGTTGGAATGGTCCATGAGGCCGGCTGTGTATCATTGTTGGATCATGTAATAAACCGGTCTGGAGGAAGAGGATAGAGCTCTGACTACAGTGCTTCCTGACGCTGTTTTCAGGCTTGCTAATGGACAATATCACATCTTGTATATGTACATACCAAGGCTTTATCTATGTTTCTTGTAATAGAGGCTACTTTGCCCAAGCCCTGTCCCTTTTATAACAGCCAAACCATGGCTTTAAACCTACGCTCCTGCCCATATTAGGTTTAAGATTGCCTCTTCACCTCATAGATATCTGTAATCAATGGTGAATATTACTTAGGCATGATCTAGCCCTAACGGAGACCTCATATTCACGTAGTAGTTGGTCGCACCCGGTTCCTACAATTCTACCTCACCTTCCAAATATTGAAAGGAGTGCGAGAGAAGTATTTGTGTTTCAACACTCATTCACGCGTCCTACCTTTTAAAGGAGAGGCAGGATATCTCATTCACAGCGGCGTAAGTCACGGGACGTCTTTTCTCTCAGTCTATAAAGCGCCTCCCAGGCCCTCTCTTGCGCTTCTCTAACTCTCCTCACCTCTTATATCCGTTCCTCACATACCCTCACATCTTCTCTCGTAACTCACATATTCCGCACAAATCGTCGATCAGCATCTCTCGGTACCACCCAAAACAAAAATACTGCTGCCCTCATTGTCAAACACGATGCAGTTCAATATCCTCTGCGTTCTGACCCTCCTTGTTGCCTTCGTGGCATCCGCGGCCGTCCCTGAGGTCGCTCCTGATGTCACCAGCACTCATGGAAGTATGTAGTTGTCCTTCCTTCTTATACTATTTGCACAGAAAGACAAGATTGCTAACCGGCACTTTCCCTGTATAAAGCCTGGTTCGATGTTGAAGACTTCGATGTGAATGATTTCAAACTTGCTACTCGTGATGAAGGTTTGTGCCTCTCTGTTTCTGTTAACATGACATCCCTTGTAGACACATGCAAGAAACTAACCTCTTCTCATTTCCTCTGAACACAGACGAGTCCAATTCTGAATTGGTCAACGAAGACGACGGTGAAACGGTCGAAATTAAGGACAAGAGATGTCATCGCCGTGTTTGCCGTTATAGCTCTCAGTGCTGCCACACTGATACATGCGTTCTGGGCGCCTGCATGGGACCTGGAAAGTGGCCTTAAGTGTGATGCATGTATCCTGTCGACAAGTATGCTTGATGATGGCCTGGCTTTCGGTTGGCTATCTGGTGCGCATCATGAGTTTGTGCTTGATGGATGGTGGCGATGAAGCAAGCTCTAGTTAGTCGACATGGTTGCTATTACCTGGGTGGTGTTGTGCTTTCTTTTCATATCTGCCAATCTTTCTCAGCTTAGTCTATGACACTGAGTGGCTCTTGCGTTTCTTTCGTGTTACTTCAATTCTCCACTCTTTTTTTCTTTCTTTTCTATGAGTCGTTGTTTGCCGAACAGGGCAATCGTCACCGTGGAATGATCTGTTGTCACACCTGCTGCGCGGGACGACATGAGGAACGGACTATGGAGACTTGAGAGCCTAGTTCTAGCATTTTCAACGCTTGCTTCTTAATGACCTGATAGTATTCTGGCAATCCTAATCACTTAACCCTTACTCGAGAAGAACCTTGGCCGACATGGCCTAGAATCCACTAGTGTAACCTACTATAGCCAACACCAACACCTACAACTACACTACAACCATAACTAGATATTGATCCGTGATGATAATACTAACCGCATACTATCACATATGCATAGACCGTCCACTAACGACTAGGATTGTAGATATCGCACCAATGATCATGAAACCTTATCCGTCCTATAGGAGTAAGCTTCCTACCCGACCTACATGTCACTACTACTTACTACTTACCACTGCTGCTAATCCCGTCCGGACTCGTCAAGGGCCCCCCTCTCTACTACTGGGCCCCCCAGGCTTTGCCCCGGATTGGATGCAAGCAGGGGGGAGCTAGTTTGTAGAAAGACCACGACAACGGATCTGACAGGCTGGATGAAGAGGGAGTGTGTCATTCGGACTGTCCTGGCTATACCATCCGGGAACCTCCGCATGGGTTGGTTGCCTGGTTATTAATCTGACTTTTTTTTTTCCCCCTTTACCAGAATTACATGAGTGGTAGGAATGATGATGGTGATGATGTATGCCCCATTTACTGTGGTAATGAAGGACTAAGAGTTCTCAAGATTTAGTTCTTGAAAGTCATCATCTTAAGGTTTACTGAGGTCATCGATGATATTATCAGATGGTATGTTTAGTCTATTTCCCTTAGTTGTATACACTGGACTTTGACACAGTTGTACAAGAACATGCATACCATGTCAGTAGGCAGTGCAGCGGGCCTGCATATACAGTCCCCATGCCATCATCTTCTCCCAAAACAGGCTCAACCACGACAACAACGGTCTGTCTATCTAGCAACTAGTACTAACTGATTGACTACCTGAACTAGGAATGGCAGCTATGTTATTTACTGGCACAGGAAATAAAAACGGGGATGTTTTACTACTACGCTACAAGGTGGAGGATAATGATTGGCCGCATCATCCTGAGGTGTTGTTGTTCCTTCGATCTGAATGGGAGCATCACTTTGAAAAAGTAAATTTTAACCGCGGGGGGATAGCTAGTACCTACTAACTAACTATGGGTAGTATCTATGAGGACCCGACGAGGGTCTTGGTGCCGTGATGAAGTATGAACTATTAACGAAGAATGGGGTCTTCCAGGGACTATCTTACTTATCTTTGTTGGATTATTGGATCCAGGTGTACTACTTCACCTCGCGCCCCTCCCCTCCCTCTTCCCTTGTCTTTTCAGTTCCCCCCTCCTCCATGGCAGCAACCTGGTTATGCACTTGATCGGGAGAGAGAGGGGGGGACCTGGCAGACAGATGTTTGTACAGCGTGGCCTTGCCTGGTGGTGTTGTTATGTTTGCGGATCCAGCGATACGCTCGGGTAACCCAGAAATTTTACATCTGGAAGAGCCTAGTGATGATGAGGTGATGGGTGGATTCTGGGGGGAGAGAGGGGGGGCTTCCTCGGTGATAGTGAAGGAACTCTGACTTAGTTAGGAGACGATCGGAGACGAAAACCCGACCAGCTCAGTAAGTCGGATACCAGAGTAGCAGTAGGAGTAACAGTTGGATCGGGAGAGGAAGAAGACAGGAACGAACGGGGAGGCTTCGAGAAGAAAGTTGGGCTGTGCGTCTGCAGTAGTGGATGCCGTGAGATGAATCGAGTAGTGTGCTCCAGCCTGCTTGCGGTGGACTTTGAAGAAATCAAGGCGTTATCCGAGAAATCAGATAGATAGCGATTATTGTAGAGTTTTAGTTTACAAGTCGGTTTCCGGTTATTTCCTACGAATTGATTTACTTTTTGAGTTTCTTAGTAGGGTTGATTCCCGATCGGAGTCATACTACTCCCCCAATATCTACTACTACTTTGTATCTCCCAACGGGAATATACTACTGACTTACTAACCATATGGTAACTAGGAACAATGCTCGTCTCATCTTAAATTACTACTACTACTACTACTACTAACATTCCCATCCATTCATCAGGCACTCACTGTCAGGCCGCCGTGCATCTCCACTGGCTCAAAGACGGCGGCTGTGATTGCGGTTCCAGATTCGCTGTCTCGCCATGGCCCAGAGAGACTGACTAGACTCCTCCATACTTAGCATCTAGTAGTTTTTTGCATCATCCTTCGTGCTTTAGTCCGTTTGAGATTTCCATTGGTTTGAGGGTTATTTTCCTACGCAAGGATCCGATTGTGCGTTCGCCGTTTCTTCCATCGGTCTTCCATTGGGCCTGTTCCATTCTGGCCCAGTCCTGCCAATCTCTTTTCCTCTTCCTCTCACTCACACTCACGCACACTCTCTTGTGACAACTACTGCTTGCTTGCTATTCAATCCATCTCCATCCTCTCACATCTTCTCCCTCTCTCTCTCACACACACTCTCTCTTTCTCCATCACTGCGTCTCGTGGGCGGTGAATTCACCAACACTTTCCTCGCCTCCTCTTTCACCATCTCCTCTCACAACTACTAGTCTCCTCTTCTCTCCTCTCCTCTCTACTCTACCACCCCCATTTATGGATCAACTGATCGACTGGCTGCGATACTAATCCAATCCTCGGCCTCTCCTTTCCTGTTCCTTCAGCCCAACCAGCCTTGCAGCCGGGTGACACCTACGACCAAGTTAGTCGGTCTACTATCGACTCATCCTCGCCCCCATTCGTCGTATTCCGCTTCCTCGTCATCCTTATTTGTCCTGCGCGTCTCTCTATGCCCTCTCTATCCCACTGCATTGTCACTCCCTCTGCCTTTGATCCCCATTAGTAGCAACCTGACAACGACAGCAAAAACAACACCACCACCACCACCATTACCTCCACTACCCCAGGTCATAAGAACAAGATCAAATTACATCCCCGACCATCATCTCGTCACTGTGCGCCCAGTGGGACTCGGTTTGACTGGGCAAAGCAGTGCCTGGACAACACAAACTCGGGTTCTCACCGACTTCTTCAGGGAGATTCATTTCTATTTATTTATATCATTGAATCCGATTTTAAAGTTTTTTCCTGTTATTTTTCTCTTTCCTTAACTTGATTTTTTATTGCTTATTGGTCTATTGCAGCACAATTTCTCATTTTTTGTTTTCTTTGCTTTTGATTCCCTGCTTTCTTTTTCTTCTTTCCCTTCGCTCGTCTCATTCAAGAGGGCTTAAATCTAATACCCATAATTATTTCTGTTATTTCCTTTCCCTCTTCGTCAGACCTGTGAGAGACCTCGCACAGGGTTACAGTCACTGCTGACCGCAAGGATTTTGTCGCAATTCTTATGGACATCGCCATTCCATCCCCATCGGGTGTTCCAGTCGTTCTCCGTACGACAATTTAGCGACCGTGTCGATCCGTATGGCCATCTCCATTGCCGACAGTTCCTGTAGCCCGACGAGGTCGCTCGGTCTGTTGTTGGACCCGGAGAAGGTTGACCTTCCCCGTCCCAAGCAGAGCATGTGGCATCGCCTGGGCCTTCGCAGGTGGCTGGGCCGCGATGATCGAGATTTCTCCTCACATTCCCCCGCTGGCGACGCTGCCCCCACCGCAAATAAACCCAATTCTCCAGCCGCCCACAACGAGCATAATGGTAATCACAACAGTAACAACACCCACCACCAAAACTCACTCCCAAGCGGCAAGAACAACAACAAACCGCACCACAGCAACAACAAACCCCACGATAATCTCAAGCGTCGCCTGTCCAGAAAGGTAGGAGTCGGTCTGCCGCGAGCCACTACCTTTAAGCGACAGAATTCCGAGCGGCGAGACAATCTATCACCCCTAGAACCCGAGCCCCGTCGTGCAGTGTCCGCCGACCGTCGTCGCGCCGTGAGCTCCCACCGGTCCAGATCCCCACCGCCCACCGTGGACCCCAGACTGTCCGCTCCCGAGGTTCAGTGGCGCGAAGACCCGAGCGAGACCACGGTCGAGCGACTGCCTGAGGCGAATGAGGACAGCGACTTTCTCTCGGAATGGAACCCCTGTCCTGACGTGGCGGAAGCTCCCGAGGAGCTACCGGACGATACGCTCGAGATGGAACTGGAAAAGCGATGGATTTTGAACCTGAGCATGCATTTTCGGGATCGCTCGGAGCGAGAAAAGTTTTTCGTCACATATGCTGAGACTCCAACTCGGTGGCGGAGAGTCACCATATCCTGCGACTACCGTGGTGCGCCCCCGGATTCCCTGGAACAAGACCTGAGGGAATTGCGGTATCAGCGAGACAAGTGTGCCCGAATTTACGAGTCGATTCGCGAATCGCTGTCGGAGATTCAGTTTTACGACACAGTCACCAACCTGAAGCTGGAAACTCGCGACGGCCGCCTGCATGTGCACGTTACCGAGGATGTCAACGAAATCATTCCCTATCCGCCCGTTTCTTGTATCGGACATTTGCCACAAGCAAGACTGGTCCCGGAGAACCAGCTCCATTTCGACGCGCATCTATCCGGCTTCGTCTACAACGTCCAGTTAGATGGCAAGGCATACATCAAGAAGGAGATTCCTGGACCCGACACAGTAGATGAATTTCTGTACGAGATCAACGCGCTTCACGCCTTACAGGGCACCCCTTATGTTGTC